CTGCAGCTGTGCAGATGCCTTTAGATCTCATAAGCTGAACTGCACTCAACCAGCCAACTGATGAACAAAGCTGTTTTATCCACACTATAAGGAACACAAAACCTGGGCATAGTTTCACTTAGTTCCTTCTTTTCATTTTTATCTTTTCTAAGTAAAGAGAGAAAGGAAAGAGCAGAGGCAGGACTGGGATGGTCAGCTCCAAGTACAAATAAATCAGTGCTCTTGGTTTAAGGGTTCTGAGCTGCACCAAGACTTAGAATTGCTTGATAAACAGAAACTGGAGGCTGAGGATGAGGCTTGACTGAAAAAGAATAGGAAAAAGAAGAATCTATAAGTGTTTTCCAGATATTCTGGACTGATACATTTGATGCTGTTTCACTCTTTCAGTGGACGGGTACCAAGTTAGAGCAGTACAGCACCTGGCCCTACTGTTCAGTTTAAACTTGGAAAAAGGAAGAATTGCTTTGCCCGTTACTCAAAAACATGTTTTCTCTGTGCTGAAGCACAGCAGTTGTTTAACAGCTTACACATTTGAGAAACTGTTGTCAAACAATAAAAAATATTTCATCCAAATAAAATGAAAAAGGGAGTCTTAGACAGCAAAGTGGAGTAATTCACGGTGGAAACTGGCAAAGGTCCCACAGCTAAAACTTCGTTTAATGAAAAATCCAGGGAACCTTTCTGGCATGCTTGAACTTTGTTTCATAATAGGGCTCACCCCAAAAAGTATGGAATTCTTTCTAAACTTAACCATATACTCACCAATTATTCTTTCTTTCCAATTATTTCCTGGAGAAAAAAAAAAAATCAAAACAAAGCATACATTTTTGTATATCTTGATTTAAAATACTCTTATAATGAGTAGTTATGTAGGTTCTGAATTGCTAAGTTTAGTTAAGCTGTAAGACTACATGTTTGAGGAGGTAACTTCTCAGTTGTGATGAGCATGAAAGAAGTATTCTCTGTATACCAGTGACAGAAAAGCTCTCAGAGTGTATTTGTTTTCCTCTTCTGAAGAACAGCTTTGTTTATGACTCAGGGCGAAACTATGCAGGAAGTCAGAAAGCAGTACTCAGGAGCATGTGTTTGCAACACACTACTGCTAACCTGGCGGCCTTGATTTTCTTGGGACTAATGACATAGTAACAAAGTGTAACATACCATCCCTGAGTATCTGAGGTGGTGGACCAAGATCCTTGGACGCTCAAAACGTGAGACTATCATTGCAATATGGCTCTCCAAGTTGTGCCGTCTTGTTTCTAACTTCCAATATACTCAATTCAAAGGCTAAGAGGTCTGCCAGATTGTCTTGGTGCCCCTGGGATACATTGAACTCTTGAACCCTGACACAGTTTCAGAAACAAACAATATCCCTGTGAGCTTTACTTTCACCACATAAAAATTCAGATCAGCCCAAATGTTTTTAATCTTAGCAGCATTTTAGATTTTTCACACTCAGAAGAATTTTTGGCTGTGTAAAATGTGAAAGAATGGTAATTCATAAATCCAGCACATACACAGGTGTTTTCAGCATGGAGGCCTATGTGTGAGCTTGCTCTAAAGATATAATTCAGACCTTCTAAACATGTACGTCTTTTTCTCCAGAAGGATTTAGAAGCTACAGCTCTGTGCAAAACTTTGACATAAAGCAGTCTGAAACAGCAACATCAGCACCTTTATTCAACTGATCAGACTGATTTAATACTTCTTTCTAAGACATTTATCAGACTAGAGTATAAGCTAAAGGCAAAGCTCTGTCCTGAACCGAATGGTGCATTGGGTTAGTGGGGCTAAATCATATCAATTCTGCAGTCCCTGGAAGGTGGTGCTGGGACTAGCATCATAATTAGCTGTTGGGGTTTTTTTCCAGTCAAAAAAAAAAGGCTTGGTTTGGTGGCCTGGGAGTGGACTTCAGTGCACGGCTTGAACGCACACCTCTGGATTCATAATAAGTTACTATCCTTGGTCTGTCTCTGTATCTTCATGTTATGGCATATCAGGTTTATCTTCTTTTTCTGCTAACAAATAGGTGTTACAACATTTATTGCACATTAGGAAAAGGCAGTTTTTCAAAATAAACAGAAAGTTTTTATGAATACAAATCAGTAACAGGAAAAGCCAAATCCTCTATCAGTAACTTCAGATCATGCTTTCTGTCTTTTGACTGAAAACAACAGAAGGAATTTCTCCTTCCTCTTCTTAATACAAAATTTCTAAAAACTCCTTTATTCATCACATGACACTGGAGCCGCTTACCAAAACTTAGTTGTTCTGAAAGATGTGTCAAGATTGAAGAAAGATGACACAGCAGCATCTTGGGACAAAAGAACTGCAAAATTCAAATGTAAAATCCTATAACTGATTGAAGGTCACATTCTGTCCCCATATGCCCACATACTACTCTTACTAGCATCAGTAAGAGCCGTGGGTATACATCCAAGGAAGGATTTTGGTCCTCAGACACGACTTCACAAAATATTTTATATTGAATATAAAGAAAGTCTGTACTTACAAACTAAAATTATCAGCAACAAAGTGGCAGACAATCCTCCCAGAAAATATCTGAGAACATAACAATACCCATAAAGGTTAGAAAAAAACAAGGGATGCATATTGGGTTGATAGAGGTGAAGCTTGGGTGGGAGGAAGAGAGAAGGTTCTTGCAGATGAACCCTCTGAACTCCGGTAGGTGAACTGCAATTTGAAACTTTAAATTATTTACACTATTGAGGATAATCTGTTAGAAAGAAAGGCCTCAGCATTCCCAGACTGAGAGAAACACCTATATTGGTCACTTAGACATGGATCTATTCTGACTCTTCTCAGCCTTTCAAAACCTCTGTCCAAGCACACTTGACAATGTAGTTTTCATATCTGCACACACATATCTTATTTTTGTGCGTATCTATATAGCTCAGATATTTATCTATATAGCTCAGATATTTGCTTGTTTGTGCGTATCTATATAGCTCAGATATTTGCCTCCATCAACTATCATGTGAAAATATATTTTCACAGTAAGATATATCTAACTTTGAAAATGTGACCCTTAATTTATGTTTTATTTGCTAATTGAAATGGAGTAAGCATTACTGTCAAAAACAACAAATACAAACAAAAATTACCTTGTACATATTGAAATGATTAAACACGTGATCAGTGCAACCACCTGAGAAAGGACTTTTCGCACTGTCCTGGATTCTAAAATGAAAATCAGGAAAATAATTTTCATGAGTTTTCAGGGAAGTAAATATATGACAGGATGTGTTTGCAAAGACTACCTTCAGCCTGTGAGGCCAGTCTCTTCAGTTTCTTTTCAAGAGAATTTGCCTAGAGTGATTCAAAGTGGAAACCTAATTTTCATGCTCTCTCAGGAGTCTTTTCCTCCCACAACCATAGAGACACTATGCCCTCCATGCTCTCAGAAAACAAGTCTTTCTGAATAATTGCCTGTTTCAATTTTTGTTCCCATGCCCTTTCCTCCATTTTTCTCTTCACTCTACTTTTTTCTTTTTCCATTTATCGCTGAAAATAGGAGAGAAAAAGGTGTGACCAGGGAGAAGTAAACAAGTAAATACCAATTTTAAGATTTTGTTATTTTTATCAGTCATTTAAAATGTATGTTTCAGTAAATAAATTCTATTCTGCAAGGGGCCATATCAATATTTTTAATGTGACTATTTTCAGTTCACTCTAAAAATGAGGCATATCAGAATAAGAATGTAACATACCTGCATTGCCCGAAGTCTCTTCATTTGCATTTATCATAAATGGAGAGCAGGATTTTGAAGCACAAAATGATTTCTCAGGCCAAAGAAACTCATCATCTTTGGTGTGAGAGGCTCCATTAGATGCTGGAATTTGCCTTTGTGGCACATGGCTATTGTATTCAGAAGAAAAGTCTGAATCACCTATAAAAATGCATATGTAACTGAGATTGCACACAAGAAGAGATCTGAGACTTGGTGTTAAAAATTTTATGGGAGAAAAAATTAATTGCTTAATCACAGGGATGTTTCCGAATTGTGAAAGGTAAGGAATTGGCAGGTTCAGTGTATGCAGGAGAAAATACACAGAGTAAAGACAAAACTGCATAGAGCGTAACACAATGAAGTTATTAAAACAGCCAGGTGAAAGCAGACAATACCAGCTATGAACGACACCAGCATAAACATCACTGATGATGACTTTGGATTCAAATTCAGTCTAAAAATGCCTTTTTTGGCAAAAAGGTCTCTGTGGACTCATACTCAGTTTTAATGCCAGGAGCTCAATTCACCACTTACAATTCTGTCATTCATCTGTCCTTTACCTGCACATCTTGGCAGACAACCCCTGCAAAATCTGTAGAAAGAGATACCCAAGTCCCACTAAATATAGACTTTAATGTTGTAGCTCGATTACTTAGTACCCAGTCAGGGCTTACCAATATCACTCTGACTGGCTTCTAGCTTATTGCATCCATCAGGCCAAAGATCATCTACATGGGAGGAATCCATATTGCTGAGGACGGTGCTGCTGAGCCATGAACTTGAGGCACCAAGATTGAACAAGCTGGCAAGAGAGCGATGGATTTTCTTCCTTCGTCTGAATACACTAGAAAGAAAAGAGATGTTGTCAAGGAATGCAGTTAATTATTCTTGTTGAGCAGGGAGAGAGCTCTAAAGCTTGCAGGACTGACATGAAAGAACCAGGTTCCGAGTGCTGTTCCTAGCTCTGTTCTTGACCCTGGGTATGTCACCAAGAATGACTGCTGCACACTGCAATAACGTCAGGGAATGTATTAGCAGCGTGGCAATATATCATGTTGTTGTGATACCAAATGATACTACAGTTATTGGGCTCTGATACTGCTGTGAGTGGTCTCATGCTACCCATGAGTGTCACCCTACCATATCCCATTTGGTGCAGTCTGAATCCACTGCACTTCAACTTTTATGAAGCACATTTTATATACCTTCCTAAACTGATGTTCTTCTGAAATCAAGAGAGATTTTTCCCTGAGTAAGTATTCCAGGACCAGACCTTTTTATTTATATATATATATATATATGAGGAATGTATATATATACTTTTATATTCTTATTCCTTATCCTGGTAGCACCCCATTGGCAAAATGAGCTGTAGCTCTCTTTTTTTTCTTTGTTGGACACAACTCTAATTACAGCAACAACTGTGTATTGAAGAGTTTTTGGGTAGTAAGATTAGGCATGACTGAAAATCAAATTATTTCAAACACTGCACTCTCTAAACTAAATCAATTGAGATTTTCCTATTAAGAAGCAATGCTGATCTTATGTCAAGCAACATGTAGACAGGACCACAGATACCTCTAGATAAGGCCAGAGATTTGGAGGCAATTGCCAACATTGAGTAAAATCTGCATATGGTTCACTTACCGAACTAAATTCTCTTTATATGTAACACTTGTCTGGGGTGGTGTCAGTGTTATGTTGCCCTCTTCATCAGACAGAAAACTGTCTTCTGTCAAAATGTAATAACCATTAGAAAGCAGTCGAGGGCTGCGGCGACATGTGGAAAAGGAGCCTGTCAGAGAATTTGTGGAACACCCATAGGCAGGGTCATCAACCAAAAAGGCACAAGCGTAACTGAAAAGGAGAAATGAAACCTTCTAATTTAGTAAATGTCTAGACAGAGCAAACCCATGATTTAATAATAACAAATTTCCATTACCAACTGATGGGGGCTGGTAATGACACAGATTTAAAATATATGGATATAATGATATTACTTCTGGACCTAGGGGGTTTCAGCCAGCTAAAGTGTGCCTGCATCACACTTCCCAGAGCCTCAGATTACAGGAGGGCTTCATATCAGGTGGAGCATTTCACGCACACCTGGAGCCAGCTTGAACTGAGTGCACGGTGTATTTCTGTGGCAGTGCTCTTGGCCAAGGAGGGCCACCAGATCTACACCTACCTGGAGCTGTCAGAGGTATTACAGTATTTTGCTTCTATGAGTTACTCTGCATGGCACAAGCCTGAGTGCCTCTGAACCAGGCAGGGTTTATTTGCTTTTTATAACCCAGCCATACCTAAGGAAGATTTCAGGATACATGACTTCTAATTGTCACAAATCCTAGAATACTATGCAGCTAGAACAACATGGGATAAAGTCTACACATGGTGATAACTTCATCCAGCACTGGAATACAAGTGACTTTGAGATGAAATATAGCACAGAAAAATATACTATGTGGTATTTAAAACAGAAGTGAGTAGTGACAGAGGTTAAAGAATCTAAATGTTGTAGACATTTTACTTAGCTCAAGTAAAACTGGATTTATGGTTAGTCCTTTCTCCTCAACAACTTTGAGTTCCAAGTGGCCACACAGTGACATCCATGGAAAGAAAGGAAGACACTGGGTTGATTCAGTGGCTGACGTGGACTTCAGTAGCTGGTTTAACTATCCCATATGGCATGTCACAGAGGGATACCACAATCTCAGTGCAGGGAAAAGCAGGTGGAACAGAGATACTCCAAAACCTTGTAATTGCAAAGCCAGTGCTTCCAGTCTCCACAGCAGTACTTCTAAACTTCCATTTACAGCAGTAATCAAATTAATATCAACACTACAATTCTAAGTGGCCCAAAATGGATTTCACAAGATCTCCAACAAAATAAAAATAAAAGTAAACAAATATAATTTTTCTCAATACCTTGGAAAAATACGTTGTGAAAGGCTGCGTCTATGTTCTCCATTAAACACTGTTGAACCTGCAGAGGCAAAGGCCAAATAAGAAGAAGTCATTGTCATATCCACTGACAGCTCAAACAGTTGACAGGTCTTCACTGACAGGTACCTTGTACATATCAAAAAGATCATAAAAGAAACTAAAATGAAAAGGAAATTAAGGGAGAGATTAAAGGAGATAAAACAGACAAAAGAATGGGGGAAAGACATAGTGTTTTTAGGAAACTCATCTCAACCAGGACAACACAGAATCAGAGTCAATCATAACCAGATACTTGTTCTCTGCACAGCTTACAGCCTTGAGAGAAATAATTATGGACACAAATGCAATAGCTGCAGAAATTTTAATGGTCTTTTTCCCAGAAATCTGCTTCATGCCAAAAATAGTACATGTACTGGCAATAGATACAGAGTAGAATGGAAGGACCATCATTACTATTACAACATATTTTCAGACCAAAATTGCAGACATAGTACAACAGGCATAGGGATAGCAACAGTGACAAAGATTTGACAATAACATTGTGGCAGGAGACTAAGGAAATAGGATTTGTCTGGATTATCATGGTTTAAGTCTGCAAAGTGCTCTCAGATGTTCAGCATCTGACAGAATCAATACTATGAAATATGAGTGATGGTTATCCATGGGGAGAATTTATATCTGTTATTACATGGAAAGATAAAAGATATGATTTCCCTACATTACCTTGCCTCTGCTGTATCTCTACAGCATCATGCTTACAACACTGTTAATAAATGCCCATCATTCACCTATGAGAAGAGATTGGTCTAAGAATTTTTTTTTTTTATGTTCAGTTCTGAGTTGAGGCAAAGAAAAGACATGAAGGTCAGTGTTTCCACTTCAGTAATCTTGTTTATCCTCATTTGGAGCTCAGTTGTCAGTCACAGCCTGGATGGGAAGGCTGACTGAGCCTTGGGACCAGGCAGGGTCACCAAAGAAGGGAAGTAAAACTTTCCAGGGTATTTTTTTACAAATCAGTCCTATTACCCTACTCCCATACATACTGTTTCTCCTACACTTTGAAAAAAAAAATTTACTTTACAAGAAAATTATGCTCTAACCCTTGCAAAAACAACTTGCAGAGACAACTGGAAGAAACTTCGTGGAGGTACAAAGAGATAGTATATCATCAGTCAGAATGCCACACAGCAAGTTGTACAAAAAGTGAGAGAAATGGCATATTTCATAGACTGACATGTTGTAGATCTATTTTTTAATATATAATTAGCCTCTGAAATAATTTATCTTATTTGAGGCAAAATCATGATTTTTAATTGTGCAAAAATATATTCTCAAAACCAAGAAATTAATCCAAACTCTAGAAGACAATACAGGAAAAACTCAACAGGTGGTTTGTAGATCTGGATATAAACTCAAACCAGCAAAATCCTGAATCTTATCAGTCAAACAAGATCCCCTTCACAACAGATTTTTTTTTTTATTAAAAGCTCTGATGAATGTGCAGAAATTTACTTGCTCCTGGTGTCGATGCAACATGTGATATTCCATACATCTTGAAAAGGACTGTTTTATACACCCTGGGATAACAGGAAATATAGAATATCTGTAAAAGAGTTTAAAAAGAAACAGAAGCACGTTTTATTTTGTCTTGTTGGAAAATTAGGATGTGTAAGATAGTATCATCAATATGTATCACATTATTAGTTATAATACATTCTAGTTTAGGCAAAAATGATTGATTCTAGGGCAAATTTGTTTGAAAAGGGGTAAAGAAGTATACCTCAGCACCAGTTATACCTACTACAACTCTTTAATAATCTGAAAGTGAAACTTTCCAGCAACTGAAACCCACAACACAGTTGTATTGCACGTGATTTCTTCAGTTATGATTATATAAAGTAGCAACCACTAAAAAAGAATAACTTTTAAGAATAGTAGCTTACATATGCGTAGTGCTTTCATTGGAAAGTGTTTACACATAGTGATCAAAGTGGCAGAACAAACCACAGTCTTTCTGTTACTAATTTGAATTGTCTCATAAATTTGCAGTCTCTGCAGGATGCTTGTTTATCTGTCACCCTCCACAGAAGTAAAATTTAAGGTAAAATAGAGTATATACATATATTTATAAAAGAAAATGAGAGCTATACATATGCAAATATATTACTGGAGAGGCAATGACTTTCCGTCTTTGAAGAACAGTTAACAAGCAGGTGTAATTTGCTTTCAAACTATTTTAAGTAATGACAATACCGAGCTTCTGTAAACAGTCATAGAACAGGCAGTGCAATGGATTTTTTTGCTACCTTTGACCATGAAAATTCTTGTCTCATGCATTGATGAAGAAGATTCCTGAAAATCATGTTTCAATCAATGCTGGAGAAAGCATGGAAACATCATGTTGTAGACAATGCTGCACAGTGTTCTGCTTTCATTTAACAGTCAGTCCCATTTCTGGGCTATTAATAGTGTGAGAAGCTACAGTAACAATATAAACAAGCCAAAACAAAGCATCTCAACCATCACTGTACAATGAAGCAGTAGTATTATATCTGTAATCCACAAAATGAGCATCAATATACAGAACCTTTAAACTACGAAATGAGAAAAGGCCAATAGCTTTAAGAAATCTCACTAAAAGTGAACCTGAGGCAAATGCGGCAATATTTTATGTCAAGAATTCAAATAAAAGTTTAAGGCAACAAAGGCAACAACCCCCTTTGAATTTCAAAACACCCAAAAGACTATGTTATAATATAAACAAAAAGTCACTGTCCAAAACAGTCAGTTTTAATTACCTTTCCCTTCAAAAATCAAATTAATCTTTAAGCCAATGATGCCCTCAATTAACAGCCAGTAATCCCCTGTACATGTTTACATTCTAAATATTTACATTAGTAGGTACCAAAATATAGTGCTATTAAAATAGCTGAAGCCCAGGCAACCAGTTTTATTCTATTGTACCTACCAAACACAAGGGTCTATAAAGATAGTTTCATTTGTTCACACATATCAGTCATTTTTGAAGAGCAGTCTAGTCTTTTCTCCCTGCAGGTAATGATGAATAACATTCACAAAAATACAAAACTTCCTGAAGAGTAGTACAGAAATAAATCCAAAGATTAGTTATTCCTCAATTGACAAATATATCAAGAGAGAAATATGTGTAAAATCTTCCAAACCTGGAATATCCATTTCACTGTTAACACTCGTATGCAAAAAAGTTGCTACTCATCAACACGAGAGCCTCTGAGACATTAAGTGGAGGGTGCTCTTTCTGCAGCTTCCTGGAAGAGATTAGCCCTGGCTCTTCGGAAAGGCAAGTCTATGAAGTCTCCTGTTTCCTTTTGAAAACAGCCCGTGCAATCAGCCACACAGAGGCAGAATGAGGTCATGCTTCCTGTAAAGTAGCCTCACATCAGAAGCATTCATTTTGAAAAGCAAACTGAAGACAAAGATTAGCCCAACAAACGCTCTTGTAGGCTGTTGCGAAAAGAGAAGATGCACTGTAAATAACATTTTGTTCCAATGATGATATGGAGAACAAAGACAGAACCTTTTCTCATAAAGAAAAGTGACACATATTTTTGTTTCAGCTTTACTTTTCTACCTCACTCAGGAAAGTTTAAAGTGGTATATCCAAATCACTCCATTTGTTGGAATACTTGTGAGCCTGACAAGCTTTGATGTAGGAAATCGATCCAACTACCAAAAAAACCCATGTATAGTAACATGACATTTTGCAAAAGCACTATTATACAGAAGATGCATTTGGTGAGAGTTCAGAGTTGTTTAAGTTTCATGACCAAAAACATTATTGTAAATATATACCATATGATGTTAAGATAAATTCCTACGAAAGGAGAGAGGAATAAAGCCATTTGTAAACATATTCATTGTTCCACTCTATATGTTTCATACTACTTAAAGTATCAATTCATCACACCTTAAAGTATACAAAAATAAAGTAAAATTCACAGAAGAGAAATGGAGCCTGAATAAGATGTCCTGGCAATCAAAATGATTTGGCTGTAGAACTATTACACACAAAAGTAGTATAAATCAGCTACTTGACACTGAAGAATTATACAACCTTAGGGAGAAAAACTTAATCTCCAGACAAATAGATAAAATATACTAGCATGTATCTCTCCTGATGTATGTATGTATCACTGACAAAAAGAAAGCATAGATCTAGTAAAATATGATTGATTTGATTTAATTATCGTTTCTTTTTCCCTGGAGAAGGAAAAATACTTCCACTGATAACAAAGGAATGTAAAATTCTCACCTCACAGAAAAGGAAACAAAAATAGGAATTAGGCAATTGGGATATTACAGAAGACCTTCTGTTTGGGAGCTAAACTAAAATTGACATTTTAAGGTCCTTTTACTCAAACATCAAAACAGAGGACCGTGTTTGTTCTTCACATCACTTTTAATTTAGTGGAATTATGCCAATGAGGAAATTTAGTCCAACACAATTTCCATGGGTGCATGGGTTTCATCACAACAGGATTTCCCTGCCCACCCTTTCTCTCTGCAGGCAATGGACATAAATTCCCAATGGTCTTTAAAACTAGGTCACTTACTGAAGAATTTCTATACGTACATTAATTTACTTCTTGGGACTACTTTTGGTTTCTTTTCATATTCTTCTCAGGAGGAAGCCATTAATTCTGAGCTTGGGCTGCTTTTTTGAAGGACATTGGCATTTTATGTTTTTCTATATAGTTAAAATATATTGTCTCTATACCATATTCAGACTTAGAGGTGTTTTCTTTTTTAATCACTACGATTCGTATCTGAAACTCACTGTTCTACAAGCTTTTGATGCATAAACTTTGTGCATTAGTGAATATTTTATAGGTAGATGCTAGCCTATAGTTTATGTGCACACACAGACATGCACACACAGGCTTATACACAGCTTTTTTTTGTTGCCCTCTCTTTTGCTCCTCAAAGTGTCTACCCTACCCCAGGGCCCATCTCAATCATTAGATTTCAAATTCTAGGTGATGAATACATCGACAAGCTTGCTGTGCAATAGTTTCATGCCTGTTGATAAAAGTTCAACCCACAAAAGGAAGGAAATGAGAAATTACAATACTGAGTACCACATATCTTTCTACTCTTCTCCCAGGCTTACTCTACTTTTGACACTACAACAAAGGAGAAAGCATATTGCCAATGGAAAATGTATTGTGCTGGGTCTGGCAGCCCAAGAGAGGAGAGGCTGGGGCAGCTCCATGCCTCAGGGCCCACCAGCATCAAGTCTGAGCATGTACACTCAGTAGGTACATGCACACAAAGCATATGTATACATCATATATATACATACATACACACCTGGCAACACAGATAACAAAGACAGACATACAGAGCACTCACACAGACAGCATTGATGGCCTTATCCTTCTCACCTCTCTGGCTGGAGAGGATGGAGGTCCGCTAGCAAGAATATACAGATAGATACACATCTGTACAAGCTGGATCCCTCCAGCAGCTGAGCACAGATGCTCAGTCTGACCAGTAGTTGCACCTAGTTCCCAGTCTCCCCAGTTCCTGGCACCTGGTCGTTTGAGTCCTCAGGGCCACATCTGCACCCCAGATGTTGGTACAGACCATCACACACAGAGGTACAGCTGGCTGGGATTCCCCTGCTCCTCAGGAGCCCACTCCCTATGGCATTGCTCCTAGAGATACCCCTGGCCATAATGTGTCTTGCATCCCCAGGTAGCAACCCTCCCAGTCTCAAAGGTGCTCTGGTGTTGACTCATCTGGGTGGACTTCATGCCTGGGCACAGGGGCTGAGGCTCCTGTGGGCGACCCCTAGGAGAGGCCCAGATAGGGTGTCCCTTCCTCTGGGTCCTTAATCTGGGTTCCCACCTGTCATTGTGCCTCTGTGCTCCTCTGGCCTGATGCCAAAGGGCCTTTGATGGGCTGATGGCTCCTGGGATGGGCCTGGGAGCAGGTAGGGCAGGGTATTATTTGGGATCCCCCTCTTGCTGTTGTCTCTCTGCTCCTTTGTGGGTGTGCAAATGAGCTTTTAGCATATATTACACCATAAGTCTGCCATCTCTGCAACCCACTGCAACTTAATGCAGTGCACTATTACGCTAAACACACAATTTTCAGAAAGGGTACTTTGCCTGATAGAAGGAATTGAGTGGCCATGGTGGAGGGAGTAGAGTGCTCATTGATTGAATGCAATTGAGAGTAATTTGACACTTCTGTAACTCTCTTTGAACATCCTGGCAAGCTCACAGCCTTTAGCTTTTCCACCAGCTTCAGTGACCATCAAATCAGGCCATTTGTCCCATATCACAGCTCTTTGCTAATGCTGTTTATATAGTACTCAACAAGTAAAAAATATTCTGAGATATCTGAAAGTTAATTGAAACATTCAAAAAACTAGCAGGGGAAGGGCTGGTCATGAGAACCTCAGAGCAGCCACACTGGGTCAAACTGAAGGTCTGTGAAACTCTCCCTGCCTGCAGTCTTGCTGCAGGGAAAACTAAGACTCATTTTAATTCACCTTTGTGAATGATAACATTTTAAGCTAAGTGCATTAATTAAAAAAAAATTCTCACAAATCCAGAT